TATCAATTCATTAGAATGATCATTTTATATGATAACCCGTTTATACTGACCTTGCATATAAATATCTAATGAAATACAAATTGTCAAACACAAAACCCTGGTGGTCATCGAGGTTTATGACGATTAATACGGCTGATTTGTAATTTATCCGTTCTTCTTATAATCGTTGTTTACAATAAATTGAAAAAATAATGCCCAAAATTCCAAATGCACGCAGTCAAAAGTGATGTGAAATCTACAAGAAATCTCGTGAATACAAAATTACTCGTGCTAAACAAATAACTCTGAAATGTCGCCTTCTCCCCCTAAACACGTGATAAGTCAATGCGGCCATCTACTTCCGGCTGGTCGAAATTGACCAGCCGGAAGTATGTCTGCTTGCCAGATGTTACAAGTCTCTCTTCTCTTTCCTCCTCTCCCCCTCAGCGGTACGTCATGTAACGTACAATATAGTGGGTCTCCACAAAGAGAGACTTGGAGCAAGTCTAGCTACAAGCCTGTTGCGAACGCATCTTGTTGACAAGTTGCGAGATTTTTTCGTATGTACTCCAGTTTTCCCGTGTATAGTAGCACTGGACTGATCAGGATTGATATTACTTCACCTTAAGAATGAACAGTTTAGAAGTTCTATCCAGCTGTCCAGCATAAATAATGTTAGTTTAATTCGGTTTTCCTTCTGTGGTAACCACTGATCTATCTATCAACGAACTATAAGCTACCGGTAGTCTACACATATCCATCTACTGTATCAACAAACTAGGCTAGTCCTTCGTGACTACTTTAGTTGGCTGTTTACCTAATTTGTTATATTTATCTTGTACTCTTGTTATTTTTATCGTTGGTAATAAATCTTCTTCTTCCACTGATCTATTAGATGAGTGATAGGAACACTGGTTGATTACACTATTAAGTGATGGCCCTGATTGGAACTCAATGGAGAACAGTTTAGAACTGCATGGTTGAGCTATCCAGCATAAATAAAGTAATAAAGTTAGTTTAATTGATAGACCTTCTGTAATACGCATTCATTATTTTTTGTACCTCAGTTTGGCCCTACATCCAAATAACGAGATTGTTGCCAGCGGTCAAGTAGCAGGACTTGCTAAAAAGGAGGGAAAGGTAGAGCCCAGTGACATGTTGTTTTTTTTCCAATTAAATGTTTGAGATTCATTTAATAAGTCTGTCTATCTATCATTACCACATGTAGCCTCATATTCGTATCTGGAACGTCACGTCTTTACAAACCCTGAAAGTGGTTGGTTTGGGATCGTTTCAAAGAGGAATATGTTGTGTTGCATTTTCCGTTGAAGTAAGTCACCCAATTTAGCGCGCAGTTGAGATTAACATTTCTATAGCGCAAATTTGCATGCAGTGGATATGATGCGCGTTACATCAAGTATTATACATCAAAGTATTATATGAAAGTATTACATCGAAGTATTATACAAAAAAGTATTACATCAAAGTATTACATCAAAGTATTACATCAAAGTATTATATGAAAGTATTACATCAAAGTATTAAGCCCGTTCTCCACTAGGCGAATTTGTTCGCGCGACGCGAAGCGAAAAACAAATCTTGGCAATGTGACTGGTCAGCGAAAAAGTAGGATCAGTTCCTACTTTTTTACTGTTCGCGCGAACAAATTCGCCTAGTGGAGAACGGACTTTATACAGGGTTCGTACGCCCCCTGGAAATCCTGGAAAACCCTGGATTTTTATTTTAGTCCTGAAACACCCTTGAAAATCCTGGAATTTCAAAATTTATCCCTGGAAAACCCTGGAAAACTGGGAAACTGAGCTGGGTATAGGATCATACCTAAACTATTTAAGACTATCTTAAAAAGAAAGATTGAACAAAAGGTTCTTGCATTATATATCGTCAAACTATGAATATATTTCTTTCAAACTGGTACAAACCCAAAAGTATCTGTGCAAGATGAAGTACTAGCCGTCGCGAACGTTTCTTATCCGTTAAACACTTATAGATTTATATTTCAAATGCCCCTGGAAAACCCCTGGAAAAAGGATGAAAAAAGTCCTAGAAAACCCTGGATTTTTTAAATTATGAACGTGTACTGTACGAACCCTGGTTATACAAAAAAGTATTAATTATATCAGTCTGTTCTTGCACGCCGTCAGTCTGTTCTTGTCTTCATCTGGGTTGAGCGCATCTTTTGCGCTTGTGTGCGGACATCTTTTCACGCAGGTGACGCAACTTTATTCAAGCTAATTTCTGCGCAGTTTTCTACATGAAGAGATTTGTTATATTTCAGGATGGTGGTGCACATGTTGTGGGTGTTGATGATGGGAATGACCACAATCTATCTGTCTGGGAATGGGAAAACAAGAAGAAAGTAGCTGAAGCTAAAGTACGTTTGTTTTTCAATTTTCATAGTCCAGCATTTTGAGAACGAAAAACATGTTTACTATTGCACAAATAAAAACGCACAACTTGTCACTGTAGCAGACTTGTACCATTGCTGTTTCAACTTGTTATCAGGATGTGTTTGCACTGCCTGTTCCCAGCTTGTTGACAACTTGCTACAATGAGTTGTTAACTGAACTGGCTTGTTACAAGTTGGTCCAACAACTTATTAACAAGTTTTAAGTAACTTGCTGAGATGCAGCGAGTTGCTGAAATGACAACATTGTCATAACTTGTTGACAAGCTTGCTACAAGCCCATTGTGAACACAACTTGTCAACAGAATGTGAGATTTAAAGTGTGTACGTAGTTAAAGCAATATTTTGGTTTTATCTTCCTTAGGGAGGCAATGAGCCAGTGTTGGCGGTAGATTTTCACCCTAGTGATTCAAAGCGTCTGGTCACATGTGGCAAGTCTCACATTGCATTCTGGAAACTGAACGGAGAGAAGAAAATTGAGAAGAAGATGGGCGTTTTTGAGGTAGAATGAAACTAAGTTCTATGATTCGATTCCATTCGTTCACACAAAAATTCATACATTTAGCTGTCAGTGTGCGATAAATCGAGATATTTAGTTGTACCTAACTGGTACTGTACTTCAATGATTATTGCCGCGTACTTTAGCTGCAAACGAGACTAATAAGACTCAAGGTGTACTTAGTCTTTTAGCTAAAGTACATCAAGCAAGGGTATTCATTCGGTAACCTGGAAATATGAGTTAGAACAAGACGGAGCACAATTCAACCGCCCCCAATAATTTCAGAAAGTCTTTGAATAACAAGGCTGTGTATCAAGGCTATAACACTCAGCTATATATTACATGAAGTTTAAAGCCAAAAAGTTTAAAGAACTAAAATAATTCGCGAGGTGTCAACACATACAGTTGACCAGGGTCCAGGGGTGGAAAAAATAGGCGAGCACTGCTCACTGGAAGTGTTAAACAGCTGCAGGAAATTCGTTTGAATGAAGATTTACTATTGAAAAGTTGAAGGAAACCTTAACACCCTTTCCCCACTACGCGCGCAACTTGACAGACATTCAGCTAGAACACTATATGTTTATTCACATGCAGATTTAGCACAAAAATACTCCGTTGGTCACAGGAAATTTTTGTCTCCAGGTTATGCTCTCAGGAAGAAAATTCTTCCTACCCTGCAGTTGATCCCAACATTCCTGGGTCCCATCAGTCCAATCATGTTCGATGCCAGTGTTAAACATATAGCTACTTAATTATAGCCTGCGTGGCAGGCGTTCTTTTTTACGGGCAGCGAAAATTAGGGAGGCAAAGGATTTTCGCTGCCCGTAAAAAACCCGCCTGCCACGCAGGCTACTTAATTACGGTTTTGAATACTTTGAGACGTTCTCTGATCAAATGGTTACCAGCAAGATGTAAGTATGCAGATATCGCGTACCTGGTATATACATGGTAGAAATAACAGAAAGTAATTCTGGCGTACCTCTGGGACTCCGGTTATAGCGTCTCGTCTTTCAACACATCGTTGTTTCGCCTATAGTAAACTCCTCGTGTACGATACATAGTGTATATACTACTTGCATTGATCACTGTTTTAGGACATTGATTTTGAGGCGTCAATATATATTCTCTATTTTCTTTTCTAAGAAACATGCGAAACCGAAATACGTGTTGTGTTTTGCGTTCGGGCAGAATGGTGAAGTGATTTCTGGTGACTCGAATGGGAATATCTTTATTTGGGCAAACGGTAAGTTTGGTTTTGGTAAAAGTGATACTGACTTCCAGTGCAACCTCCTACCCCCAAGATTTTATTATCCAAGGCCGGTTTTTTAATGTAAATTGGGAAGGTGGGAAATACATATTTAGGGGGTGCAACAGTCTGGGCTCTCTGTGTGGAAAACGATCCTGTACCTTACGTTCAGCCATGGTCTTACCGTTAGCGAGATTGGGTGGAAGAGGAGATGAAAGCCTAGCTCGTTTCTCACTGTGCTGATGTTTTTATATGTTTGGTCTTATATCATTATTTTAATCTTTTAGAGGGCAACCAAATTAGTCAAGAAATTACTGCTGTTCATGAGGTATTGTATAATTTAAGCCCATTTTCCACTTGGAATTGAAATCAGAATTGAATAATTGATTAAATATCTGATATTTTCCAGCCAAAAGCGCATTAGGCAAAGAAATACTTAATACTGTGCTGTTCCCGCAACAAATTTCTATAGTGAAAAACCTGGTTTAGGCTTGATGAAATCATGGATTATAAAATAAATGGATAGGAAACTAGCTGACGTGACCTAATGTTTTCAATGGGCTGATGGCGTGATTGGATGTTGAAACCTAGTTGCAAACCAAATTCTCAAAAACGGCATGTTTAGCAATAATACAGCGAAACATTTTAGTCAAAGAGCAAATGAATATAACTACGCCATTCTACGATGAAATCTCTAAGTATTCCCAGTCAATTTTAGCAAATATTTCAAGCACTAAACAGTGAAAACGGGATCCCAAATTTCGTTAAAATTGGGGACGCCAATTTCGTAGCTACAAATGTAAAAAAATACAAAACAAAGACGAAAAACATTTACCTTGATTACTTTGTCGTGGCTTAGGCATGTTTTTAAAACAATTAGACCAGTATATGCTTCAATATTACTCTTTTAAAGCGGAAAGTCTAGCGAAACAACAAAAATGCCGAGAACTTTGCAATACGCGTGACGTCACAGATTGCAACTAGGTTGTTTTTGCTTACGTCAGCTAGAGTCCTATCCATTTATTTTATTATCCATGATGAAATCATGCTAAAGAAAGTTTTATATTATGAACGTTCTTTCTAGGGACCAATTTTCTCAATTGAATCGTCTGCGGATGGTATGTTTCTATCTGGCGGAGGCAAGGATAGGAAAGTGTTCTTGTGGGACAGCAATTACAACAAGTCCGAAAAACAACTTGAGGTATATTATATACTAGGTCTTAAGGGCACAGCCTTTTGATTACTTTTAAGGCGCATTACAACCATTTTAATTGAAAAAACTAACTAGGAAAATCAATTAAGCGTAATTCAAGATCAGTGATCTCAATGTTTTTAACACTTTGTAACATTTTTAACGTTAAAACATTGAGTTCACTGATCTTGAATTATGCTGAGTTGATTTTGCTAATTAGCTTTTTCAATTAAAATGGTTGTAATCATTCACAAGGCAATAGACAATAGTTAAACTTACAAATCTCACTTTATTAGTCTATAGTTGCTCTTCCTTTGCCAGTGGTTAAAAGGAAAATGGATGCTCAGTATAGTTAAAGAATGTAGCCGGCAGTGAACCTCGTAAAACCTGCTGGAGCTCTGCTGGCTTGTTTTGAAAGCCCTGATAGTCTCCCTACTAAAATGAATGATTAGTCCTACTATATAATAATATAATAACATATAATAACATTTAATATCCATCTTTGGTTAGAAAAGTACAATGGATTTACAAGAAGTGCTAAGGTTAAAATTGATAAGAAGAAATTTTACTATTATTTACATCAATGTTGCTAAAAATGTTTATACCAGTTATATATTCTATAAAATTAATTTAGGACTGTTTTAAAAGGGATATAGCTCTAGGTATAAAGGATTGCCGGTGTCTTTTAGTATACGATACAACATATGGTAGATTATTAGTTGTTCTTAGATCGTGTTAATGTGTAAAAGGTTGGGGCATAAGTTTATTACATGGGTTGGTCGGATCACTTAGAATTCTTTGGTATTCCTTAACAGTTAGGTGTGCCCTTTGTTCTAGCGTTTCAAAGTTGCACCGAGATGTGCCGAGGATTTTGATGCATCTGTTTTGAATGCTCTCTACTGTAGTATAAATCGGGTCAATGTGTGCCCCTTGCGAAATCCAGTCAGATTTATATTTGTTTTCTTGTCTAATCCCGTACTCAAAATCCGACTGCGTTTCATAGATTCCAGAGGAGAGCGGTACAGTGAGATCTGCAATCTGGGGTCCTAACGTGGCCGAGGAAAGATCAGTGTTGGTCGGAACAACGAAAAATTGCATCTTGCAAGGAACATTTGAGGAAGATAATAAGCAATTCCATTACTTGACCAAGGTGAATTTATAATAGTGTATTTGGCTTCAGTGGCGCACTCGTTTGAGCAAGCGCGCTAGAAGGTCAGTTCGGGGCTTATCCCAACCCACCCCGTCATTCCCGGAGAAAACCTATGACTTTCGGTAAAGCGTTGACCGACTCTTGTCACATAATTGCCGTGAGTCCGCAGAGAGAATGAAACCCTTGACCTGAGTGGCAAAGTGGTCTGTGCCTTTCGATCAGACATTACATGTCATAAGGTGGCTGGCAGAGGCGCCCATAGAAAGCCTTGATCAGGTTGAGCTGCATCCTTCGTAATTCAGCTTAGCTCTTAGCTGCAAGTGAGGATGATTAGCACCCACGTACTATTTTTTTATACTGTTTATTGATAATGTGCAGGGCTCAGTATAACGGGAGACAGGTATCCAGTCTCAAAAGATTTTAGCTCGGTCAAAATCTGTTTTTGACCGGTCATTGATACGCTTGAAACAAACTATTAGAAACTTGTTTCGATACGTCATAGTTTCATGTTTTAATTCAAGACGTAAGCAATCACATTGGAAGGCATGAAAATGTGGCTTGTCAAAATGACCGGTGAGGTAAAAAAAGTGACCGCTCAAGAGGCACTTTAGCCGGTCATTGTCCGTTGACCGGTCGTTATTTTGAGCCCTGATGTAAGCATAGAATGAAACAATTGGGGCAATCAAATTACATGTGTGAGTGAATTGAGCGGCAACAGAACTTATTTGGTTTGTCTTGTTACAATTTTTCTTGAAATATACACTAACATTGAAATATGAACGTTTCAGGGTCATTCTGAAGAAACGTGGGGTCTCTGTGTTCATCCATCCAAGCCATTGTTTGTGACATGTGGTTATGATAAGATGTTGTGTTTATGGAACTCTGAAGACAAGTCTTTGGTCTGGGCTAAACAGCTCGAGGTGTGTAACAAGTTGAACAAGTTTGTATGCATGGTCATAAGTATAGCGTTTTCCCCTACAATGTGTATATGGCCATGGACATCTCATCTTGCTTGTGGCTTTAAACCCTGGGCAAAGTACAATAGGAAACGCTGTTGCAGGAGAAAGACGCCTCATAGGGTAGCCATGTTTCCAGAGGGTGGGCAAACCAAGAAAGATTGTTTTCTAGCCATGTTTCCCGAAGGTTGGCAAAGCCGGTAACATTGTTTCGTATGCATATTTCTTCAAGGTGGGTAAACTACGAAACATTGTTTCCTGGCCATGTTTCCTGAAGATGGGCAGACCAGGAAACCTCGTGATTCGTTGCCTAGGCATGTTTCCTGAAGTTGCAGACACCATGTTTCCCTACGGTGGGCAAACCAGGAAACCTAACCATTTAGGAAACAGAATGTTTCTGAATTTGATAAGAAACATTTTTCTTTAATGGGAATCAAATTTTGTTTATGCTGTAATGTTTCCTAGTTTTCCGTTTGACATTCACTTTGATTAGTTTGACTACAATTAGTCATTCCGAAGTTGATGAGTGGACTGGGGACGAGTGTTAAAAAGTGCCCAAATTACGAAATGAACCAAATCACTAAAAAGACCACCTCAAAATTAGTAAGTATACAAAGTTTGAAGACGTTTACATGAATACCCTTCGAATAATAAGCTTTCGAAAATTATGAAATTACTGATTAAAAGACTGTTTTTGGGGACGCGCGTCCCCAATAACAAAAATTACAGAACATTTCATAGTAAATGTCGCGATTTTCGAAGGCTTATTATTCGAAGAGTATTCGTGCAAATGTCTTCAAACTTTGTATACTTACTAATTTTGAAGTGGTCTTTTTGATGATTTGGTTCATTTCTTAATTTGGGCACTTTTTAGCATTCGTCCCCAGTCCTCTCATCAACTTCGGAGTGGCTAATTCTAGTCATGATGAAATGTTTCAGGACCAACTTCAGTCAGTATGTATTCATCCAAATGGCAACCTCCTGGCTGTGGCTACACAGAACAACAAATTTCAAGTTCTTGATGCTGATACTGGTGAAGAATTTTATAGCTGTGAGGTCGGTTCAGAACAACATGATTGCATCAAGTACTCTCCTGGTAAGAATTTTTTCACGAGGTCATACACAAGTTTGATTATAATTTCACCTAAAGCCCGGATAGAACGAGGATGAGAGTGCATGAGAGTTGGCAGTCACGTGATCTTGGTTAGATGTTCTTAATGTTTTCTCAACACTATCATGTATTCTATTTAAGTTAAAGGACAATGGCAACAAAATTTTTTATTGTCTATATTAAAAGTGTTGCTTCATCTAACTATAAATATGATATTAATACCGTGTCAAACATTTTTGTTCAGGAGTTATAAGCATGTTATTTCACTGTTAATTTATATATCGTCGGCCATCTTGGCTCGTATTTGCGAAAAATTATCTTTAGGGTAATATGACCCGTATGACGTAGATGGCAGGGTAGAATCAAAACAACAATATATTTTTGTATAGCGTGTATCGAGATTTAATACGTTTTCTCAAAAAGTTAATGCTTTTGAGTCATTTTAATGGAAATATTCACGAGAACCAAGTAGGAGAAGTGTTATCATACCAATATGAACCAGAAGTAGGAGAAAAACAAGCGATATTTTAATTTTGGGGTAGGTATAAATATAAGACCTCTACATGCGTCTTGGACCTTTGGTTTGTGGCTTACTTATAATCATTTATTTAATGGGTTTCTTTTATTTTCAACGGTGTATTGAATGTAGACCATGCCGTTAAATATTGTATATTAGGTGCACGCGTATGCGTGCCGCGTGCGCTGTTTTGTGTCTTTTTATGTCAATCCATTGTAGAAATAGTATACCGCAATTGAAGCTAGTATGTACTGTAAGTAAAGTTATTACTTGGCAACGCTTCCCTTTTCAATTGTATTCTAAACGTTTCATTGCACTGTATTCGTTTTAAAAACTTTGGCGACTGTCCTTGTTCATACGCGTCTTCGGCAAAATGAAGTGAGCATATAGTCTAGTCACATCGTGATTCGTGGCGACGATGGTTTAATGCTTTGCGCTTATACAGAATTCAATCCACGCTTTTCTCCTATATTGCTGATCTACCGATTTGCCCTTTGGAAAATTGAAGAAACAGATTTCACTTGTGTGTTGGCTGTTCTATCACCATACGTTTTACATGAACAATCTATATATTTTCGTTATTCAAGCCGTACTCAGAACTGATATCTGATCATGACTATATATAATATTTGCAATTTCGGTAATATATATATATTCCCACACGTGAATTTAGGATATTTTACATAACAATGAAAATATTGATAATATTGGGAACTATACACTACAGTACATGCATATATTTACCTATATAAAATGAGAACCAAGTAAAACTACATGTAAAAATACATCACAACATATAATCAGATTATAGTTATTTTACACTTATCTCTTGTCTGGGAAAATCCCATACTGACCTTGAATGTCAATTTACTAATTTGCGCAATGTCTAACTTGCGCGACACTACACATTACAGAAGAGGCAAATCTTTTTTGTGAGATAACAGCTATTCCACTAGCATAGCAATGTCGTTTGAAAGCCTGCTTAGTTTTAAAAACAATTAATAGTTGTGAAATCTGAAGCTAGAATTATCCACTGCAACATTGTTTCCGCCAGTTAATTGGTTGAATTATTTTTGTATTAATAATAATAACAACACTTTGAAACACTAAATACTCAGTAGAATCTTTTATTTCAATGCAAATTATTTATATATTTCTGCAACAGAGCATGCACATACGTAAATGTATATGCTATACATATATACTTACTTTTGGAATATATGATATATGTAATTGGAACAGCAGAACTACCATAACCGGAGTCATGTCTAAGCGCATTTTACAACGCAAATATACGCTTACTGTCGAAAACACAATCACAGACCATTGGTAGCAAGTTGCTACACATTATTGAACTATGAATAAACGTTGCAACGTATCTGTATTTTTTTTGTAAACATTTTCTTCCAAATCTCAACGTTGTTACAGTGTAACTTATACTGCGGGATTTGCGTTTACCCTGCCATCTACGTCACGAAATGTATTCATGCATAAATTAGCATACGGCGGATGGCGGACGACTGTTAAAGATGGCGGACGACTGTTAAAATTAGCAGATGGCGGACGACTGTTAAAATTTGTTAAACATTTTCGCAAATTATCTGAACTAAATGCAATGGACAAACAAAAATATGAAATTAAGTATTCCATTAGTAAGCTTAATAAATACAGACAATAAAAAAATTTGTTGCCATTGTCCTTTAAAGTACATGTTCGTTGTAATCAACCTCACTCCCAGGCTCCCTCCTCTACCCTTTTGCCAATCTCGTTCCCCGAGCCTGCGATCCTCGGGAAGGAACGCGAGGCTCTGGGATAATCCGTTTCAGGGAGGAATCTGATTGGCCATTGAAATGGAATGCGTAGTTCAATCTTAGCCAGGATTCTTGGCTTCCGGTAACGGATTATCCCAGAGCCTTCGATTCCTTCCCGAGGATCGCAGGCTCGGGGAACGAGATTGCCCTTTTGCAGTAACCATGTTCAAGATTTTTACGCCGCTTCAGTATTTATGTAGGATCGAACATGTAATCTAAAAGATAAATTTTGGCACTAACGCCCGTATTCTAAAAGCACACTCGCACTCAATGAGCGGAGGTTAAATCTGAGCTTCTCTTGATGCTGTTTTTGAATAGCTGGAGGGCGAGTAGTCACCGAGTAAGGTATGACACTAGCCCTCCAGCTATTCAAAAACAGCATTGGCACTCAAGAGAAGCTCAGATTAAACCTCCACTCATTGAGTGTGAGTGTGAGTGAGCTTTTAGAATACGGGCGTAAGATTATTAGAATTGGTGAAGTAGAACCAATGTTGTGGCTGTTTAAAGTAAGGGGTCACCAAACCTGTTAATATATACTGAACACAGTCCATGTATTATTTCAATGACCTACATGCATGCATATGTACTGGATGAACCAGTGTATAGAACTGGATGGAGCACTCATCAAACATTTGTTTTCTTAATCAAGAGATTGGAATGTCCCCAGTAACAATGCGTGTCTGCCAACTCTCATCTTCGTTTATCCTTAAGTCTCACGTGAGAAGAATGCTTTCAGTTTCGGTCTGCCAAACCCCGCAGGTTCTCCCCGGGAAATCCGGTATCCTCCTGCAGAAACACTGCACCAGTGAAGGGACCTCGATGGGGAACAGTTTAGAACTGGTACAGTGTATCCAGTATAAATAAATTTAGTTAAGTTTAGGTTTCCTCCTGTGGTAACACTGGATCAAGAAGGAATGCCCATTACTGGACTTCGAAGGAGAACTGTTTAGAACTGGTTGAGCTACATCTAGTATAAATCAAGTTAGTTTAGTAAAGGTTTCCTCCTAACTGGATCTCGTTTGAGAACAGTTTAGAACTGCTAGAGCTATCCAGTATAAATAAAGTTAGTTTAGGTTTCGTCCTGTAGCTACTAACACTGGATTAAGAAGGAATGGCATTTATAAACTGGACCTCGATGGAGAACTGGTAGAGCTATATCCAGTATAAATAAAGTTAGTTTAGTTTAGGTTTCCTCCTGTAGTAACACCGGACCAAGAAGGAATGCCCGTTGCTGCACCTCGAGAGAGGACAGTTTAGAAGTGATAGAGATACATCCAGTGTAAATAGAGTTTATTTCAGTTGTAGTTTATTTTACAAGAAGTACTTTAGCCTCATTATTTCGTTATTATATCTAAACTGTATGTGGTTCCAGATGGATGTTATCTCGCAGTTGGCTCTCACGATAATTTCATCTATCTGTTTACTGTGAGCGAGGATGGAAAACAATACAAAAAGCACGGACGGTTGTCCGGTCACTCCAGTTACATCACGCATCTTGATTGGTCCAAAGACAGTCAACATCTGCAAAGCAATTCTGGAGACTATGAGATCCTCTATTGTAAGTCGTCTCAATGTTAAAGTGTGATTAACCCCAAATATAATTTTTGGTATGTGTAATATTTGGGTCATTCTAAGAAGAAATGTAATATATCTTTATAGTAAAAAACATCATCTTGGTCAACTTTTCACTGTCAAAGTTTCCAGATATGAGGTCGTTAGGTGAATTTTTGGTACAAAAAGAAAGGAAAACTAATTTGCAATTCACCCAATGACATCATATCCGGAAACTTTGACAGTGAAAAAGTTGATCAAGATGGAATTTTTTATTATAAAGATATTACATTTCTTCGAATGACCCAAATATTACACGTACAAAAAATCATATTTGGGGTTAGTCCCACTTTAAACGTCGCTTAGTCAGTCATTATTCTTCGAAGCCACCAATCGACAACACCTCTACACACTATTTTTCTTCAGGGCAAGCAAAAGATTGCAAGCAAGTTTCATCAGGATATTCAATGAGAGATACTGAATGGGATACTTGGTCTTGTGTGCTAGGGTTTCCTGTGCGAGGTATGCTGCAACTGTATAGACTATTAATTGTCGAGTAATTTAATAAGATTTAACGGAATAATAGATACTTCCCGAATTTAACAGTTGAAGGTTTTTTGTAGGTGGATATTTCGATACAATTCTCAGACCTAACCAGGACCTGCTGCGAAAATTGCTGTATTTATGCTAGTTTGCGGCCGGTTGTAGTCCCTCAACCAGGAATCTGTAGTCTGTGGCTGAGTTGGTTGGAGCGTAACCTGCGATCAGGCCTATAAATAAATAAATACTCCTGATACAAACGTTAACAAAAGTCCATGCCGTACAACCGTATTTCGGTTGTAAATCTGATTGGTCTATGAGATTTTTTAATCTGTCATTTAATTGGTTGGTGCTAATCAGATTATACTATTGTTGTTGATATATTTTATAGTGATCACAACTATAATTAGATTGTTGTTGTTGACTTGTTGTGTGAAACTTAAATTTCTCCCTTGATTGGATACTAAATATACACTTTGCTGTGGAAAGCGATCGGATTAAGGTTTGCGTCAGGCTATATTTTTAAAATAGAGCCTGATCTGAGGTTAGTTAGAGCGCCTCACCGAAATCGAGGTGCCGCAGGCTCGATTTCTACCAGAATTAGCATCTACAAAAAGTCTTCAACCGTTAGCTCTATCGAGCGAGAGATGCCCAAAAATCTTCATACTTCCCGAATGGACCTATTCCCTAATGAACAAAATTTTGATATAGACAAGTCTGGACAAAAATGAAAGAGCATCACAAAATTAGTAATATTTCTAAGTTTCGTTGCGAAATGTCGTAAAATGCGGATAATATAGCCCTGAGAAGTTTGCCGTTTTTCAGTCATTTTGTATTACGCACGGGAAATTGATGCCTTTTTTCAGAAAGCGGTATCAATTTCCGCGCGTAATACAAAATGACTGAAAGACTGCAAACTTCGCAGGGCTATATTCGCATTTTACAACATTTCGCAACGAAACATCGAAATATTACTAATTTTGTGATGCTCTTTCAAGCTGTGATGAAATTTTTGTCCAGACTTGTCTAGATCAAAATTTTGTTCATTAGGGAATAGGTCCATTTGCATGAGTGTATACAGGCAACATCGACAGTGCCACCCCATTATTTTTGCCACCCAAAATCGTGGATTTCTTGGTATGACGTAATATTCTCGCGTGACCGCAAAACCTGAATATGTATACTTTTTTACAGGAATTTGGCCCGAAGGTGCTGATGGGACGGATATTAATACATGCATCAGATCACACAGTGCCCAATACCTTGTCAATGGTGATGATTCTGGCGCCTTGAACATCTTTACATATCCATGTACTAAGCTCAAGGCAAGTTTATTCTTGGTGTTTAAGCATGGTTCACACTAGCAATTTTGTCGCCGATTTTGTGCTTCTGACGGATGCAAATGAGTGAACTCGAACACAAAAATATAGAGTCGCTTTTCAGAAGTAAACAATTCTAAGTCTTTTGCATGTCATTCAGTCGATCACATTTGCCAGGAGGAGAAAAATCGCCGACAGAATGGAGGATTCCAGCTGTAGATTTAATTTTGATCTAGACAAGAAAAATGAAATCCATCACCACAGCTAGAAAGAGCACAACCCATTGAACTATAAATAAACTGGAAGGCTAACTGCTATGATGAAGGCCTATGATTTGATGAAGCCAAAATAGTTTTTCTGAGTTATGAGCAGAAATACTTGATCCCAAACGTCGGGCTATATATCAAATTGAAGCTATTGAAAATTGCTATTCGCTGTGGAAATTTCAAGACTTCAGCGAAAAGAAAAATATTTAAAAAATACAAAAACAACTGCAAAACGGCAAATTATCGGTAATTATGTTTGTAGTTTTTCAATATTTCCCTTTTAGCTAAAGTCTTGAAATTTCTACACCAAATAGCGTTTTTCAATAGCTTCAATTTGATATATAGCCCAACGTTCAGTGTTGAGTATTTCTGCTCATAACTCAGAAAAACTTAAATGCACTGGCTTCAATTTCCCCCCCTGAGTTAGCCTTCCAGTTTATTTATAGTTCAATGGCACAACCTCGTTCCCAGGCTCTTTCCTCTTGTGGAGAAAGAGCATCTTACAATTAGTAAAATTGCAAAGTTTGGTTGCGAAATTTTAGAAAATGCGGAAAATATAGCCCTGGGAAATTTTCGAATTTGAGTCGAATGTGGTGCATTTTCCCGTGCGTAATACTTCATAAATATAAAACATTTTCCGTGTTGATATACAGTTATATCAACACGAGTGGAAATTGGGAAAACGAGAAGTTGTGTGGAAACACGACACGACGCCCGAAGGGCGGAGTGTTTTCACACAATTTCGAGTTTTCCCAATTTCCACGAGTGTTGATATAACTATATATCAATATGGAAAAAATGTTTTATATTTGTTTTATAATATAGCACAAAGAAATATAAAGAAAGAAATTTTCCGACGTTTCCGTGTTGACATTGAGTTATATCAACACGGCTATTAGCCAATCAGCATTCAGAATTTACAAATGCTATATTATAATTAACAAATATAAAATGTGCAAATTTCGCAGGGTTTTCGTTCTTTCTGCCTGGATTAAAATTTAGTATAAAGCTGGAATCATCTATTGCTAATGTGAACCAGGCTTAAACATTAAGTAAGTTCCCTCGAACATTTCTCACAAATCCTTCAAAACTTAGAATTTACCGATGCAAAATTCCTGTACTGTGATCACAGAAACGTTGATAGTGTGAACCAGGCTTAAACATTAAGTAAGTACTAAGTTCCCTCAAACATTTCTCACAAATCCTTCAAAACTTAGAATTTACCGATGCAAAATTCCTGTACTGTGATCACAGAAACGTTGATAGTGTGAACCAGGCTTAAACATTAAGTAAGTACTAAGTTCCCTCAAACATTTCTCACAAATCCTTCAAAACTTAGAATTTACCGATGCAAAATTCCTGTACTGTGATCACAGAAACGTTGATAGTGTGAACCAGGCTTAAACATTAAGTAAGTACTAAGTTCCCTCAAACATTTCTCACAAATCCTTCAAAACTTAGAATTTACCGATGCAAAATTCCTGTACTGTGATCACAGAAACGTTGATAGTGTGAACCAGGCTTAAACATTAAGTAAGTACTAAGTTCCCTCAAACATTTCTCACAAATCCTTCAAAACTTAGAATTTACCGATGCAAAATTCCTGTACTGTGATCACAGAAACGTTGATAGTGTGAACCAGGCTTAAACATTAAGTAAGTACTAAGTTCCCTCAAACATTTCTCACAAATCCTTCAAAACTTAGAATTTACCGATGCAAAATTCCTGTACTGTGATCACAGAAACGTTGATAGTGTGAACCAGGCTTAAACATTAAGTAAGTACTAAGTTCCCTCAAACATTTCTCACAAATCCTTCAGAACTTAGAATTTACCGATGCAAAATTCCTATACTGTGATCACAGAAACTTTGATAGTGTGAACCAGGCTTAAACATTAAGTAAGTTCCCTTAAACATTTCTCACAAATCCTTCAAAACTTAGAATTTACCGATGCAAAATTCCTACTGTGATCACAGAAACTTTGATAGTGTGAACCAGGCTTAAACATTAAGTAAGTTCCCTCGAACATTTCTCACAAATCCTTCAAAACTTAGAATTTACCGATGCAAAATTTCTACTGTGATCACAGAAACTTTGATAGTGTGAACCAGGCTTAAACATTAAGTAAGTTCCCTTAAACATTTCTCACAAGTCCTTCAAAACTTAGAATTTACCGATGCAAAATTCCTACTGTGATCACAGAAACTTTGATAGTGTGAACCAGGCTTAAACATTAAGTAAGTTCCCTTAAACATTTCTCACAAATCCTTCAAAACTTAGAATTTACAGATGCAAAATTTCTACTGTGATCACAGAAACTTTGATAGTGTGAACCAGGCTTAAACATTAAGTAAGTTCCCTCAAACATTTCTCACAAATCCTTCAAAACTTAGAATTTACAGATGCAAAATTTCTACTGTGATCACAGAAACTTTGATAGTGTGAACCAGGCTTAAACATTAAGTAAGTTCCCTCAAACATTTCTCACAAATCCTTCAAAACTTAGAATTTACAGATGCAAAATTTCTACTGTGATCACAGAAACTTTGATAGTGTGAACCAGGCTTAAACATTAAGTAAGTTCCCTCAAACATTTCTCACAAATCCTTCAAAACTTAGAATTTACAGATGCAAAATTTCTACTGTGATCACAGAAACTTTGATAGTGTGAACCAGGCTTAAACATTAAGTAAGTTCCCTCAAACATTTCTCACAAATCCTTCAAAACTTAGAATTTACAGATGCAAAATTTCTACTGTGATCACAGAAACTTTGATAGTGTGAACCAGGCTTAAACATTAAGTAAGTTCCCTCAAACATTTCTCACAAATCCTTCAAAACTTAGAATTTACAGATGCAAAATTTCTACTGTGATCACAGAAACTTTGATAGTGTGAACCAGGCTTAAACATTAAGTAAGTTCCCTCAAACATTTCTTACAAATCCTTCAAAACTTGGAATTTAGTAATTTACTTATGCAAAATTCCTACTGTGATCACAGAAACTTTGAACCAGGCAGTTGACCATCATCTGCTGCACGATAGTGCTTAGTGAAACCACAGATGAAACTCGTGACCTATTTTTCACTTAATTTCTAGTCTACACCCAATGTCGGCCGCGGTCATAGTTCCCATGTAACCGCTGTGGGTTTCCTAGCAACGGATTCTCATGTCGTCAGCACAGGAGGCAAGGACAATACCGTCATGCAATGGAAGCTTGAAAGCTAAGTATTGCGTCACCGTAACTGTGAGTATCATGAAGTAAAACAATCGTAGCATAGATATGCTTTGAATATGTATAGTATCGCTGGGAATGGGAATATACTAGAATTTGCATCTATTACATTTATACAACGACTGTTACATTTATACATCATTTAAGCGGGCGGAAGTTAATTAGCTAAATCTTTTCGACATAATCGCAGCTAGTCTTCTAGGAAAAAATACTGACAGAACATATACGATAAATATAGTCAATTAATCCATCACGTATTAGAATACGTTATAGTTTTTTCAAATTTTTCTCGATGACCTAAAAGATAGAAAATGGCGAATTATAATTGTGGCGCGTGATTGTAATTTCGTATTCAATGTATTAAACGTAGTTAGCATTCAATAAAATTTGTATGGTGTTATTTTTCGATAAGATAAATGAAACGTATATTTATGCAGTCCCGTGCTCATAAGTAACATACAATCACTTATGGTTGGAGCTCGAAAACTGCATGGGCTCTGTAGCTCAGCTGGTTAGAGCGCTGCATGACCAGAATCGGAGGGCCGCAGGTTCAATTCCTGTCAGGGGCCTATAGTTACATTTTTCTCTTCTGTTCCTGGTTAGGTGTAATAAATGTATATAAATTTCCACTCGATAATTTCCATCTACAAGACGCTTCAACTATTATTCAATTGAGTGTGATGCCAACAAAATCTCGATATTTACCCATAACCTAAACATGGCAGTACCCTAAACTTGTGGTTAGAGCTGGTCAACCTGGACTCTGTAGCTCAGTTGGTTAGAGCGCTGCACCAGAATCACAGGGCCGAAGGTTCGATTCCTGTCAGGGGCCTATAGTTACATTTTTCTCTTCTGTTCCTTGTTAGGTGTAATAAATGTATATAAATTTCCACTCGATAATTTCCATCTACAAAACCCTTCAACTATTATTCAATTGAGTGTGATGCCAACAAAATCTCGATATTTACCCATAACCTAAACATGGCAGTACCCTAAACTTGTGGTTAGAGCTGGACAACTGGCCTCTGTAGCTCAGTTGGTTAGAGCACTGCACCGGAATCACAGGGCCGAAGGTTCGATTCCTGCCAGAGGACGTATATAGTTACATTTTTAAAAACTGTTCCTGGTTAGGTGTAATAAATGTATAAAAGTTCCACTCTACAAATCCCTTGATTTTCAACTTACCCCTAAACGCATTTCAAGGCTCTGGCTGCGTTCTTCCAGGTTTTTCTTTAAACGTGCGATTTCTTTGCTAAGCTTTTCCTATCAAAAGAAGTATAGTATTTGAGCGCAATTTGTTGCAACTAGGCAAGGCAAAAACACGCAAGTGTTCACACGTCGTGGGTTGGAATCCTGGCAAATTGTTTGGTCCTCCCCACCCCACCCCCCATTTTCTTAAAATTCCCTCAAGCTTTTTTTCATACTAATTTTGACTTTCTATGGTTAGGGTTTGGGGCATATGGACTTGGCGTTGATTTATTTTTAAAATCTACATATCTAACTTTAATTCGTAGCAACTCAAGGTTGCCATCTTGAATCAGGCCTGGTTGCCGGTGTATGTCTTGTCTACGAAAGGGTGTTCTAGCGCGGAGCTTTATATATAGGCGTTTAACGTAGATCGCGGCGCCATGGTATCACAAACTTGAACACGTAGCTATATTAGGGAAAATTATATTTTTTCTCGTGCATTTTATAACACTGTGTTATTCTTCATTTGTCTGGCTATAATCGGCGAAAGTTTGATAGAAGTTGGATAAAAATTCGCAGAGTAATAATAAATTTCATGAAATACCTGTCTATAGGATATCCTGTAAGCTTAAATACATTTAACCACATTGTACCGCTAGGGAAAACAGTTTGAGATTGATAAATCTATCCAGTAATTGGAATTGATACATCGATCCAGTGGTTTCGGTTCGTTTGGTTTCGTTTATACTAAAACATATACATACTTTTCTTAATATTTCCACGTCCAACGCTCGTTTTAAATCCTCTTTGGTTGTGCACGGAGTCTCCAGTTTTGAAGTGGTTTGAATATCTTCCCTTCCCTCTGCTTGCTTCCGTGAAATCGAGCTTGGCTTGACATCACACTCAGTCTGTTGCAATGTATACGGTCTCTCCTGTTTTGCAGTGGCTTGCTTTGACGTCTCTTGCTTGCATTCCCTTCCCTCCACTTGCTTCAATGATGCCGAGCTTAGTTTGCGATTATCTCCAGGTATCTTTGTTTTGAGCGCATGTCGTGTCTCTTTCACAGTAGCATTTCGTGCCGTACTTGGGCTTTTTCTTGTGGGATTTTTAACACACCTTGTGTATTTTACAGGGCCTACCGCCGCCCTGTTCACCAGTGAAGTTTTGGATTTGGATTTGTGTAAATCATCCAGCATTTCGTGGCTTTGTTTCTGTGCTTTATTTTTACTATTCTTTGAAGTCCTTGTTTTAAGCTCATTACTATGCACGCCTGGAACACTTAGTCTTTTTGTTTCGAATACATTTATTTCGATCGGAATATTTCTTGAACTGTTCGATAAAGTTCTTCTTCTTTCTGAAGTGCTCTCAAGTTGTTGAAGTCCATTGTCCTTTTTATGTTCAGAAATGTTATGTTCTCTTTGTTCGTCCTTGTCTTGCGTTTTTGTTAAACAGTTGGTATCATCCTCGGATGCACTAGAAAATTGTGAAATGAAAAGATTGTATAAAATTGTATATTACCATTTGCGAGCGTCCCTGAAGCATGCATTTGAAACTATACTTGGAAACGTGGAAGAGATTATTTCGCTGGCCTCAGAGTGACAAAACGTATCAAAGCAACGGTTTTACTAACACTAACACTAACCCTAACCCTATTCCAAACACCAACTCTAACCTTAATCTAACTCTACTCCAAGTTTGTCTCTAAACCAATCTTGAAGAAAAACGTTTTGACGAAATGTCATTCTGAGGTCAGCGAAATAACTTCTTCCTGAAAACGTTTCTTCCTCGAGGTTTGTCAATCAAAACTTTTTGTTTTGCTTATAAAACGTTTATGGGCGTGGCGGAATGTCAATTTTAAAAGTAGCTGTACCATTGTCCAACCCGCATTTTTGTATACCGGTAATACTTGCATTTTAGGTTAGGTCTAAGATTGCATATAATCTTTCGCTCGAAATTCCCTTCAAGAAGAGAAGAAGAGTTTCGCCTCAGTCGCATGTGAAAGGAGTGCTTCCTTGTAGCTTCGGGTACTGTGCTTCGGGTACTGGGTACAGATCAGATAGGGCTATCAAGTATAAATAAAGTTACTTTCGTTAGGCATACAAACCGTTGTGTGATTTCCAGACATGTTGCTCCCTCCGATTTCTTCAAGCAATCGTTATGATATTCTTCAACAGGATCCAGTGTCGTTTTTGGCGCTCTGTGTCTTCTCCACCACCTTTGTATTTTCCTGCACGCCAATTTTGTTATCTCATCTCCTCGAAAGCCGCCATTGTCTTCAAGATACTCTACACACTCTGAATGTTTGTTGAGCTTTGCTAGGTCCAGCGGAGTTAGGAACTTGTAAATTTCATTCTTTAAAATGTAAAATCATGTTAAGTCTGCTATCGTGCTGTGATTTCACAATAGTTACCTTACTTTACCATTTACAGGTAAAAATGCATATGGAAATATTTAAGTATATCTAAGACTTAAAACTAAGCAACGACAAAAAAGTAAGGACCCTAAATAGGTGAGGTACAAACGGGACTCAAAGAGCCATGCACTATTGCAAGGTACCTGCCCAAACTTAGTTAGGATTAAATTTAAATTAAGTACAACTAAAGTTTAAATCCTGTGGCAAGGACAGTCACGAACCAGCGACCACGTACAAGCCATGTCACATCGGAATAGTAGATTTTGAAATATACTATTCCGTCTGAAGATCCACTGTTCATGTATCTCTCAGAGAGCTTCTTAATTGGCTAATGTGTGTGACAATTGTTAACGTAAGCCTCCAGAGCCCTGAATTGAAGATCGACAAACAAGCATAGCAAACACTTCTGCTGTTATGAGGGTTCTATTTATGCAGCAAGAATCTCATCAAATGCATTGTTTTGTCATTAATAAGCAAGCGAACAATAACTTCTAATGGTAAAAATACCTCTAATAACGTACTGATACTAACACGTTTTCTACTATACAAACAGAATACAAAGATCAAATGTCAGGCATTTTACTATATGCGGAATAGCGTAGATTGCGGCCCCTGTATGCGACTGTATAATTTCGCCTTAACTTCTATATAGGGGTACAGTTTAGAATCGATAGAGCTATCCAATATAAACAACGTCACTCTAGTATACTAGTCTTACCTTACACTGTGTATTAATACAGTTCATATCAGCGCCTCCTTCCAACAGACATTGACACAAGTGAATTGATCCAACCGAGGCTGCTAAGTGTAGTGGGGTAAATCCTTGCTTATTACGTGCATTTGCATCACATTGACATCTTAATATATAGTTCACTGCACCTACGATGAAAAACAAAACCCAAAGCTCAGAGACTGTATGCCTCTGCATACTGATGATGGGATTTTGTACATGGAACAGCTGCGAAAAATACGACCAATGGCGGCCCTCTTGCATTTTTCGCAGCCGCTCCTGGTTAAGTATAAAAAATGTATAAAATTTACACTCGAAATTTAAAATCCCACCAACAATTATTTTTCATTCAGTTCATTTACATAGGTCGAGGAAAGAAGAATATGCACAGAGAAGCAGAACATCCTTCATCAACACAGGCATGAAAAAGAATTCTCTATTATGACCAATAAATGTGGAAATAAGCTTTAACACGAAAACGAGGCTCCATGTCATGACCTGGAGCCTCGTTTTCGTGTTAATGCTTATTTCCATATTTATTGATCAAAATCCAAAAATTTTTTCGCGCATGTGTTGAAGAAGGATGTTGTGCTTCTCTGTGCATAGCCCATGAGAAAAAAACTTGAAATCCTTTCCATTTAAGGTGGTCCTAAGTTGAAAACTGTGTAGTTGTGACGTAATTATCGAAAGGGTGTATTAAGTTGTAAGCAGCATGCGATAGTTTTAGGCACAAGTTCTGTAGTGTAAATCAGTCTTAACCAAGGTTTGATTGATTTCTCCTTGGCCCATGGCCACTGACTCGCAAACTTCCGCAGTAAACTATTTCATAGCCTCCGAGTTATCCTGCTGTTGGCAAACAAACGCAAACAGACCGACGTGAGGAGGAACCCCTAAGCAGCATGCAAACGTTAGGTGTGGCAGGTTTGCAAATCTATTTGAACTGACCTTGTTGTTGAAATAATACAGCTTCGTGAATTGGCAGATTACCGGCGTTATTCCTCAATTCCAATGATCCTTGATACTTGACGAGTACCTCTAATGCTTCTGTGAGTCCTTTTGATGCAGCCAGGTGCGCTGGGCTATGAAAAGTCAAAGAGAAAGAGCATTAAAACCGAAATATTCTTCACTCAGCATTTACAAGTCATAACGTTTTAAGTATATACAAATCTCGCTTAGATCTTTTGATGTCAATTGTCAGCAAAAATTCGAAGCAATAGCGCAACTGTCTGTATCACTAAGATATTTTGTAAGATGTCAGTTCCAAATTACTGTTTCATCATTTATCAGCTATTAGCTAATATATTTATGAGGTACACACGTAAAAACGCAGGTTGTAACAAACCTGCAGCAGACTTGCAGCAATGCTATTCCAACAACTTGTCAACAGGATGTGTTCGCACTGCTTGTTGACAAGTTGTTAACGGGGCTTGTTGACAACTTGCTACAAGCTTGTTGAGCTCAATACTATTTTATCAAGTTGCTACAAGTCACTCACAAATTGTTGAATTGCAGGACGACAACAGCAATTCGTTGAAATTGTTGTTCCAACAACTTGTTATCGTCCTGCAATTCAACAATTTGTCAACAAGTTGCGAGTGGCAACCTTGTAGCAACTTGTTAAAACAACAATATTGTTACAACAATATTGCTGACACAAGCTTGTTGTGATTTGTGAACACATGATCTTGTTGACACATTGTGAGATTTTTACATGTGTACGTGCAAATGTTAAAAATGTACTTTACCTATTGCCCTGCGTATTGCAGTGGTTCGGCGAAGCATCTTCATAGAGTAGAAGCTCAGCGCAATGAATATGTCTACTCGTGATAGCATTGAACAGTGGTGTGTAACCATGTCCGTCCTCAATGTTTATATCTGCACCACATTCTATCACCAATACCCGAATACATTCTGCATGACCTTGACTTGCAGCGATATGTAGAGCTAGAAAAAGTAATGTACAAGTATTGGGTTTCAGGAAGTGTTGAGGTTACAGGTGAGAAACTGTACAGGTTTCCACAGTCGTAGGGACCGGACATTAATCATGGATTCAGTTATCGGAATCTACCATTATCTTTTCATTGCTTTGAAAATCCGACTGTTCTCCATGCCGTTCAGTCCATATATGACTATCAAGTCACTTGTTGTTTTGAAATTCTGCAATGGACCATTCCTAACGAACTAAGCAATCTTCCATTATCTTTTCATTGCTTTGAAAATCCGGCTGTTCTCCATGCCGTTCAGTCCATATATGACTATCAAGTCACTTGTTGTTTTGAATTCTGCAATGGACCATTCCTAACGAACTAAGCAATCTTCCATTATCTTTTCATTGCTTTGAAAATCCGGCTGTTCTCCATGCCGTTCAGTCCATATATATGACTATCAAGTCACTTGTTGTTTTGAATTCTGCAATGGACCATTCCTAACGAACTAAGCAATCTTTAATTCTTTTTGGTTTCATCCAGATTTTTTTACATTTATTTAATAGTTTTATTTTGTCTGACGTTTCGGTTCCCTATACGGAAACCATTTTCAAAAACAGCTAGCCAACTTTATTAAGCCAACTTTATGATTGGCTCTATCAGTTCTGAACTGTTCTTCCTAGAGATCCAATAAGCGCCATCTCTGTTTGTCTATTGTACCTGTATGTCCATCGTTACACCGTGAGTTCACGGGAGATCCATTGTGAACCATCATTGCACAAATAGTTGCGTTACCTGAAAAAAGTACAGAAACTATTTACATGAAAATTTAACCAGAACTACTATTTAACAATAACTAAACTTTACTTACCGTATATTGGCTGGCACTATCAATTCTAAAATGTTCTCCCTAGAGTCTAGAGGTTTAGTAAGGTCCAGTGTTATTACTGTAGGAAATCGGAGTATCTGGTGAAAATCTGCAATGTTTGGTCACAGATTAAGAATATACTGTGATCTGTGGTTTGGTAGAGTCAAACTGGATATAGACCCATTGCGCATGACGTCGCCAGCGCCAGTGACGATGCATCAGGGCCGGTTGTATAAAAGTGATTAAAGTTAACTACAGTTAGTGGAAACGTCGTCCAATAAGAAGCGCGTATTTGAGAAAGTTAATCACCATTTAACTACAAAATAGTGATAAAAAGTGATTGGCGAGTTTTATACAACCGGCCCCTGGAGGGACAAATTAGCAATCTATGCATAATATAATCCTTTGTGAACAAAGCAAATTCCTTTCTAAAAGTTTAAAATAATTTTGTATTAAAATGTTTAATTTTTGCGCTGTATGTGGTTGTTGTGAACACTCTAAGGATTTGTGACGTCAGTGCAATGGGTCTATACTGCAGGAATGGAAACCACTGTCCTACCTGCATTAGCCGCCCAGTGCAAGGCCAGACGACCGTTTGTATCAGCGAATGTCGAGTCTGCACCATATTTCAACAAGTGTTTTATTACTACGTCACTGCGTTTGTCATCGTCTGAGCCTGCGTTGATGGCATAGTGCAGCGGTGTTGCGCCTGAAACATCTTGACAGTTTGCCATTGAACCGTTGACAAGAAGACTCAGTATGCAATCAATGTGACGATTGTCTAAATCGAGAATAAAAGCAGCCAGTTATGTATACAGCATTTAATTCATGAGGAAAGTACAAAAGAAATCACTGTCGATTTGCACATAGTCTTTCAAAACATGGTTTGGAAACTCAGCTAAAGTCTTTGTTATATCTTTTTGTTCGCGTTTATGCAGTTTTGTGCACGGTGCACGGTCAATGAACACAATGTATTTCATTAAAACATCTTCCGAGCTTCAATATCAATAAAGATCAATGCAGAAAGGCCACTCACGTCGGAAGCTTTGAAGTTTCTGTCCTCGCGCATGTCACATTGCGCATGTTGGCCGCCATTTTCCTAGCCAGTCAATGACATTTTCTGGCCAATAAACACGCTGTACTGGCTGGCTGCTCCGCCTTCTGGCAAGTAAACTGCATATTTTTGCATAAAAAAAACGAGGACACGTTGCACCACTAAGTGGCCCTTCTGTTACTGATCTTTATTCTGTGCTCGAGCTGCGCTCTCGTGTTTTATATCTGATAAAACACTCCTGCTCGTATTTTAAATAGTACTAATTTGAATACAGTTACCTTTCGCGATTCCTTGCCTA